AACGCGCTACACATGTTGGGTATCGCCGCGCACGCCGGAGTGAGAGCAATAATTCTAGGGCCAGTATTTTGTTGTATCTCTAAATTGATGACCTGTGGGGGCTTTTAAAGCGTCTTTTATTGACTTTTTGGGGTACTGCAGTTTTTCGCCGTTTCCCGGTCGCACGCAATCTGTAAACTGGGCATGTTGGGTATCGTTTTACTCGTTGTAACCTCATCTTTTATATTTCATTAAAAAAAATGGGTAATTTGTTGTGTTTTGGGGCATTAAATTAAATTTGTCACTAAATTTTGGGGTTTAATAAGGAGTTGCGCTAATATTGCGCAACATAAAAATTTTCAACTACCACTATTTTATTCTATAGGGTCTTGGCATTCAGAAAATATATAATGTTGGGGGGTTTTATGTCATTTTCAGGCCTAAAATGTGGAATATAACATGGGTGCAAAAATTGAAAAAAGGGCCTCAGTCATGAAGGGGTTAAGGTGTGTGTTACTGCAGAGCAGTGGTGTGAATAGTCCCAGAAACTGACTAACACCCAACTTTAGAGTTTCTGTTGTGTTTCTGAGGATGAATGACTTGACACCACCAAGCTAGAGATGTAAGTGATTGCTTGTTTTAAATATATTTTACTGCTTGTTAAGCATATGTAAAAACTTTAATGTCCATAGTCTGGGCACAAGTGAATTTTAGGATGTGAATCCAACATTAATCTTAATTGATAATTTTATTGCCTGCGCGTGTATACTGAGGTAATAAAGGAAATCAGCAGATTATGTTCTTTTTATGTCTTTACAAGTAGTATATTTTCTCCTACTCTTTTGAAGTAGCTATAGTGGCCAGGCTATGGCAGACAGACCTTTCATGTAATAACCTACACTAGATTAATGCAAGATGTAATTTAATTCAATTATGAAACAATAAGCTTAGTGTGAGAATGGTTGAAGAAATCTTCCTTTTAAACAGTGTACTGGCATAGTCTTTCTCTCTCTGTCATCTTCTCTCAGTGGTAGCTGTTACCCCACTTTTCCAGAAATCAGTAGATGCTACCACTGGAACCTTAGCAAGGTTTCTAGCACAGGACAGGTGAGAAAGAGTAAAGTTTACATAAGGGAAGGTTAGTGTGGATTTGATTTACAGGGACAGCCAGTGTTAGGGTTAATTTTTTGAGTTATCATAAGATAGTGTTATGGTTGCTTGAAGGATTAGTATGAGAAGCAATGTAATGGTTATAGGGGGGATGTGTGTAAGTGTTAAGGATACAGGGAAGGTTAGTGTGGTGATTAGATTTATGGGAAAATGGGGGGAGGAGGGTTAATATGAAGATGAATGTTGTAGAGAGGGTTAGTGCGAGGAGTCCTTGGGATAAGGTATCACTATTTGAACTAGAACTGTGCCAAAAACTGACAGCAGCGATATAAAATTAGTGTCTATCTAATCCTGGAAAATCCTTGCTCCTTAGCCCACAATTGTGTGGCAATTTATTAATTAAATTCTAATTACACATGGCCCATTCAGTGCAGCAGAAAGGCTGCTGAGCCCAATACAACTGCCAAGAGGATTTGCCAAGGAACTCTGTAAATTCTGCTTATTCTGGCTTCAAAGGCAAATAAAAAGTTTCAAAATCTGCCATTTTTAAACTGGTGCACACTTTGACAGCTGCAGTGTTTGCAGTGTTTTTTTTTTCAGAAGCAACAACTGAATGATTTTTCTTTTTGCCTGGAGCTGCTTTCTGAAAATACAGCATATGAACAATCATTTAATTACCCAAGGGGCAATATACAGCCCAAATACTATGTGTACTTCTTTATTTTGTACCATCATTTGTTTGTTGTGTATGGTGTATTGATTTGTCTGTAGTAGACTGTACTATGTTGAATGACATTTGATGGAGCAACTGAATTCCTACCCATCTCATGATGTCAAATAATGTCTTTTAGGCAGCAGACACAACCAGGATGAAGAAGAGGGTGAGCTGAAACAGGACGAAACAAGAACTATAAAGGACCCTGGAACCCTAGAACATCACCAACATGATAGCAAAGAAGAAGCTAGAGAGAGTCCAGATTTACAAAAAGAATATGAAGAGAAGCGCCATCATGCAGAAACTGAAAACAGAGAGGACGAGGAGGAAAAAGTAAAAGAAACAGAACAATTTGATGAAAAAGAGGAAAGCACAGGGCATTCTAAAGAAAGATCCTTTGCTGAGGATGATGACAAAGAAAGAGGAGATCACAAAGACCATTACGAGAAAGAAGATATAGAAAAAATAAATAAATACCATGACTCACAAGAACATGACATTTTTGGCAACAGAGCTTATCACACAGCTAAACATACAGAGGCATTCCCTGAAGAAGACAATGAGGAGGATGCCAAGAACTTAGAAGAAATTATAAAGAGACACCCTCTAAACATAAACTGGAAGAAACTTTTGCAGCCAGAGAAATTCCATTCCACTCACTCCAGTGAAGTGCCAGAAGAAAATGATGAATGGGAAGAAGAAAAAGAAAAAAGAAGCTTTAAACCAAATCATGAAGAGCTTAGACAGAGACTCTTTGGTTATGAGGAAAAGCGAAGTCATCACGAAGAACCAAGAAATCACCTAACAGAGGAAAAGACATCATACTCTAAGGGACAAAGGCCACACTTAGGAGAAACTTCCTTGGAAAACCGCATGATTAAAAATTATTTTGACAAGAGGTCCCATCATGACAAAGAAAGTTCAGAAGAAGTTAGAGAGAAGAAACACCACCACCAAGGCAGCGAGGAAGAGATAGAACACCATGACAGCAGTGAAGAAAGCAATGAAAAAGAACTGACTGGTCAACACTATGAAGAAAAAAGGCGACATGAAGAAAGAAAGAGGTGGCCAAGTCAACAGAATTCCAGACTAAATTACGAAGAAAGCAATGAGGATAGTGAAGAGAGCAATGAAAATATTGATAAGCGTCATGAGCATGAACAAGAAAAAGAAAATTTGTATAAAAAACTAAAACATCATCTCCAGGAGAGTGACGAGGATGAACCATTTAAACAAGACAAGAAACAAGATGAAAAAAGGTACTACATTGGTGAAGAAATGGTGGATGGGATGAAAAGATATTATCCAAATTTGTCTCAAGAGAAAGGCTTAAGACAATATGAGGAAAATAAAAATCATTATAGAGAAGACAGTGAGGAGTCAAATCTCCCAGACAATGACATGTACAAACAAAACTATGCTAAAGAAGAGAGAAGGTCTGTTGATAAACACAGACTCCCCAATGATCCTCTGAAATGGCAAAGCAGATACTTTGAGAACGCTGACCACAGTGAAGAAGACAGGAAGAGAAGCTTACAGGTCAAAAACATGTTTCCAGACTATGGCGACTACGATTTATGGGGAAAAAGGCAACTTGTTGAAGATGTGAACCATCAGTATGGTGGTAATAGAAGCCCTGCTAAAACGCACAAATTTGAAGAAAAAAGAGAGTATGACAGGATGGATGAATTGGCTCAGCTGCTAAATTACAAGAAAAAGTCTGTTGAGTTTCCTGAGTTCTACGACTCCGAAGAGGTAAAAAAGCGTCACTATGATGAGAGAGGGAGATTTAGAGAGAGACCTTTAACTGAAGAAGAGGTAAGCTTTTTATAGTGACCTGCAGTACTGAAAGTGTGTGACTAAAGCAGGCAATACATACATACCTACATACTGTATACATACATAATATACATACACAACACATATATTCATTTATTTAGATTAATTACACTCCAGAATCCAATTTGTATTGTAATCTGAAGCTCTTGAGTAATTAGAGGCACTGCATAGATCTACCCTATAAGACCTTTTCTGTCTGACACCATGTGATGATTTAAAGAAGTTATACATTTCTGATATGTGAGATTTAACAGACCAGTAACTAGTTGTCAGGGCTGGACAAATCCCAGGAACCAGGTAGCCAATGCTCCTTAAATGTTACAGCCACTTTGGAGATGTTCTCCAGTTGTAGTGGAGCTGGCTCGTAAAAAAAACATCTGGCTCCTGGATTGGGTAGACTGGCTCCTGAATTCCATATTAATTTGTCCACCTCTGAACTAAGTAGAATAGTAAAAATCCTGAAGCTATAAACATGCTCTTCCAGGTATAAATATACCCTGGGGAAAAAGCAATTCTCAAACATATGTAAACCTAGGACCTAATATTCTGAGCCATTTTTATGTGTCTCATGTTTGAGTTTGCAGATCTGTTTTCTTGATAGAAAATAACATAACATTCAGATTATATGGGGTTGATGTTAGAAATGCATTTTGTTCTAAAGAAATACATCAGAAAGTCTGTAATGAGACTGAAATAATTATGTTTATATCGGTAAGCTCATGAAATGGAAGTCTGTTTGGCTTACATAAAATATTGATATATTCGCTAATATGATATTATGTAACAACAAAGAATTTGATTTCTTCTGATGTAACAAACAGCACAATTATCAATTGCACATGCAAGTGTGATTTTCATGGTATGGAATTGTTTTCATATCCTCTTGTAATGATAATGTAGCAATGACTCCTGAAGGAGCTGTTGAATTAGTTGGGTTCCATTTTGCAATGGTGACCCGTTCTTAATAGATCCAGAAATTCACCAACACACCAGTAGTGATACAAAGGGACTTTTTTTAGGATGAAAAAACCCTAGTAGGGTTAACATGTTATTAAACACTGAAATAAACAAACAATATCTCTCCAATCAGCTGCAACTGAGGTCCATAAAAATCCAACTTTATTGTTGTAAATTCCATGCAAAGTTCAAAATACAAGGTATACAGCATCATAGTATCTCTCCCACTCCAACGCCTCTCACGCGTTTCACCACCTGGGCTGGCCTAATTACTGTGCATAGGCTCTATCTAGCCACTGGTCAGTGGGATAATAAATGCAAAGTCTGGGGGCCACGGGACCCTTTAACTTGACATGGAAGCATATGACCTTCAATTGAAGGTATACAGTATGTACTCCAAGAATGAGGAATCACTCCCAGGTATCCTAGGGTAGCTAAAAGTGAAGGGCTAGGTATATCCCCTTTAAATGGATTTCCACTGGCAGCAGCAAGGTTGTCACAGTAATCAGCAGATTCATTACACACAAGGGTGGCCAGAGGCCTCTTATCACTCACGAGACTGTCAGATGTCCTCCTGACAGCAGTCTGTAGTCTAATAACTGCCTCAGCAGACTAGATGGAGATGGATGGAACACAGGCTGCAATATCCCCAAGCAAGGTAACAATTACTGCAAGATAGGCCAATCTGTCCCTAGACACCTCTGCACTCCTGGCTCATCTTTTGGATGTCAGGTGAAAGGTAGTACAGCACACTGGGGTTCCACTCTCTAGCCTGCATCTTCCTGTCATGTATTTCTGTGCATTTTTTCCTTTCTCTGGACGACAGCCTTGCTCCCCCCGTCTCTCAGGCTTTCTCTCTCTCTTGCTGTGTCCCATGGGGAGGGTTAAGTCTGGCCAGCGATATGGCAAATCATAGTCCTCCAATCTCTCTGCTTCCTCCTGCAGGCCAGTCCATTACCAGTGGGGAGAGAGATCAACCTGTGATGTGACTGAAATGTCCCCTGATTTAAGGGGCTGCCAGCCAGGGCTACAATAGGGATGTGGATCTCATATATTTAAACACATACTGGGATCTAACAATCATCTGATATTGATAATGACATCAAACACGAATCACAGTAGTTGTTTATATTCCTCTAATTGACAAGCTTCTGGTGTGTGGTACTGTTGTGCACACTCAGGAGACAGATTAAGTATCACCATGAGGTCAGGTCAGTGGTAGAGCACCTACTGCCAAACTCCAAGTGACCTCCAACCTTAAACTCCCATACCTAGATTCATCCTCAGACCCCAAGTCAAGCTAAATCATGTGGCAAATATAAATATTTCCTAGGTAAGCCTGTACATTTTATGATAATTTAAGACGGAATATTCAAGACTGCTGGGGAAAAAAGTGACTGGTTTTATTTGAATAAATGCTGAAATGTCTACAACACTCAATGTTTAGATGTGATTTATTAATGGTGTTTATATTACCTTCCAGGAGAAAGAATTAGAGAACCTGGCAATTATGGACCTGGAGTTGCAGAAAATTGCTGAAAAGCTAAGCAATAACAGACAAGGCTGAGACACAAAGGACTGCAATACCTGTAGCTGAACGCTATACTATATTTAGCTCAAACATTCCTACATTTCTTGCCACTGCCTCTTCAAAAAAGAAAAATGTTGTTTAACCAAGAAAAAAGTCATCGTTCACAAATAGCATTTTACACTGTCAGAAATGTACGATACAACTTTTGCTGTTGATAGAAAAAACAAATAACATATATTCATACACATAGAAGGGACATTTTATTATGCTTGTGGATATGTTTTATGTGTAATTGTACTTTAATACATCTATGTTCTGAGATTTGAAATAATAAAAGCAAACTGAATCTTGCATTGGAGACCTTGTTGTTCTGTCGCCTCCTTGTTTGTTTATGGAGTTTGAACCTTTAAGAGTATGTTTAGTAAAAATTTGAAAAAAGGAATTTGGGGCAATGGGGGGAATTTATCAAAACTGGGGCAGACAAAATCTAGTGCGGGTGACCATGGCAACCAATCAGCTTCTCTCTTCAGTTTGTTCAGGTAAGATTTGAAAATGAAAGAAAGAATCTGATTGGTTGCTGTGTACAGCTGCTCCAGATTTTGTCTGCTCCAGTTTTGATAAATTTCCTTCAATATGTCAGAATTTATCTAAGGGAATACAGATTGGTTTTGTAAACATGTTCTATGTTTAATATGATCAGGACCAAATAGTAACATTTAAAAAAAGTTTATTTTTGGTCAGATAAATGTAAAATAATGTTCAGTATATGAACATTTTGCATTATGATTTTCAGCCATAAGGTTAAGCTCCAGGCTTTTTGATATGTGTACCAATCTGTTCTTAGCTGTTTTGTTGAAATAGCCCAATAGCTCAAGCTTCAATGTACACACACACACATACACACACACACACAACAAGGTGATGTCAGAGGAGTGATACGTCCCTGTGGAGAGAGATAGAAAGAGAGGTTGATTTACTAAAGGCAAGGGAATGTTCACTTTGCAGGGGAAGTTTACCTTAGTTTAGTGAATGAGGTGATGCTCTGCTGACTTCCGTCACCCAATCATGCGCAAGCAGAAATTGTTGTTTTTTTTAATTTCCTTGCACATGATTGGGTATTGTTTGCATAGTGAAATCCTTTGTCCAAGTGAACAGTCTATTAGATTTTAGTGAATAATCTCCAGAGGTTCCAGAAGAGTTTTCACACTAAACACAAGCAAGTCATGGGGTCTTTGGATCCTAACAATATACAGTATCTCACTGTCCTCTGGGAATAATTGGCGATATAGATATATATCTATATGTCCTGTGCTCCTACACTACAGACACAGACTACACTGCTGTTGAGCTATACAGCTTGGTCCAGGCCCCTCTAAAGCTGGCCACAGATTGAATCCCAATCGTTTCCTGCTGTTGGCCAAAATGTGAGTTTTGGATGGAGCTGTCTGCACCACCGAGTGTAGATCCGTCGGCCGAAAGTCATTACAGCCAATCTGCTGCATGCACTGTTTGTCTAATACAGTAGCCACCAGAGGAGATGCTTCCAGCCATGCTCCACAACATGAAGGAATTGAGTAATATTTCTTGTTTAGCCTGCAGGAATGGCCAGAGACAAAGCACAAACACACATAAAATCATCATTCTGCCGTCAACCTGACAGCATATGAACGCTGCTGCAGATCCCCATTGGCTCATATTGCTAACCCTCCTATAGAGGGTCTGATATTAAGACGGAATGCTTTATGTAAACTAATTATATGAAAAATAAACGTAATCAATTTTTGTTAAGAATCCATAACTGAATTAAATGGAGTTTGTTACATTCTCCCTGGAGTTTAGCTTTGATTGACTAGTGTAATGGTTAAGTGATCTTTGAAGCTTGTTTTACCATTAAGACATAAAGCCGTGACGGAAAGCTTAGGCGGTCATCTCTGTGGGCTTTTCATTAAGATTATCAACAGAAAAAAAAAACCCCAAGGTCCTTTCAGGTAATGAAAATAGCACATTAGCCATCGGAATGAGGCAAACAAATCCACTGATGGTGGTCCCCAGCGTTGTGTGGTCATCTCAAATACCTCCATTCCTATTCCTCCTGCTCTATATGCACCCAGCTCATAAAAGATCAGACAGCTGGTTCTGCTCTGCTTGTATGTGAACTGCTGAAATGGATGCAAAATGAACCTTTGCCCATTGTGATAGAAGCCTTTGCTTTGTTTAATTTTTGTCTTAGATATCATACCGCTTGATGGTTTATGTTGCAAAAATCTTTGAGGAACAACTTGTTTTCATTTCTAAAAGCAGAAATGTTCCCTAGAATTACTCAATGAACATTATAACACCTGCACCTTGATAAATGCATAGAACCATGTTAGACTTCTGTCCACACTTAAATACACACAGAAAACTCCGGACACAATGGCCTGCACTTAAACCACTCGCTCCTGTGGCGGACTACAATCTCAATACAATATAGTAAACTAAATGTGAGATGGTAGTCCATCACGGGACTGAGCTTAGAGCGGTGACTACTTTACAACACACACAGGGACCATGGGGAACAAAAGTAACCACCCTCCAGAAGGAAGGACAGTGTCAGCGCTAATTCAGAGATGATGTGAGGATCTACAGCCAAGTAATACACAAATAATTTACATTGTTGTTAATAGTTAGGGTACCTGGATGCATTTTTAAGGTTTAACTCCTGAGTTTAGTGTCACTTTATTTAAACACTGCAGTTCCCAGAGTACAATGGATAGCGATATCTGCTCTTGGGTTTTGTTTGTTTTTTTGCTTACAGTCTGGCTTTAAACATATTGCTCTGTGTGCAGCTTCATGTATAATTGCAGGGTTTCCAAGGCGGATTTCATCAGTACCCCTCCAGCACATGGTATTGTTTTGCCACCATATCTGTAGGACGGCACAAATGCTTCGAGATAAAAAAAACTACACTAACACAAAATGGAATTCAAATGTGAGCCGCTTATTATAGTATTCTAACTCCGGCGCAATGTTTTGGTGTATCTGTGTACTTTCCAATCTTTCTGTTTTGTGAAAACATTTTGTGCTTGGTAATCTTATAAACAGAGAAAACAAATATGCAAAAAAACAAAACCAGGAGCACATTAGAGATTTCTTTGCTTCCTCCAGGAAAATAATTGCAACACTCTATTTTATTGAAGTTATGAAAAATGGGAGATTTTTATTTCCAAAAACAATATGTGTGGCGGCAAAACAAAAAAAATTATATCAATTAGTTTGCATGTGTAGAAATGGATTGCCACCTCTGCAAACTTGTCAGCTGCACTAGTGCTGAATAATTCATGAACAGCTTCTATACCGACGTTAAAAAGGAGTCTATCCAGTGTGTAAGATTTCTACTACCAAAAGTGATTAGTGTTATATCACACCCAAATAAATGTAAAGACTCGAGAACCATTCTTTAGAACTGGGGAAAAAAAAAAAAAGTACCACTGAACCTAGAGGAGCTATTGCTATAGGGCCTGAAGTAAAAAGCGATATCACAACCTTTTCTGCACATCTGTGGTAAAATGTGGCTTTTCCTACATTTATAAAGCCATTCTCACATGAACAGTGCTAGAAATAGAAATATGTGAATACTTGTAAGAATGAAGCTGCTTTTTTATCTCTACAGAGATGAATACAAGATTTCTTAGCAGTTCAAGTTAATGTAGCCAGCTCATTACGTGGTTAAAAAGAGATTAACAATTATAGCAACCCCTGTTGCTATTCTAACGGAACCCCGGCAAGAGCCACCTTATATTAGAATGGGCTTAATGCCCCATTCACACCTGATTTTCAACGAATGCCAATGCAAGTACATCTGAAAATGAATTGGTGTGAATTGGAGCAGTTCATACCAGCGTGTTGTGTTGCGCTGCCCTCCGCTGAAAAAAAGTAGAGCCGGCCCTATTCTTTTTTTCAATGCAATGCATTGGTGTGAACTGCTAACGCATGTTAATGCAAGGCAGAACCAATACCTACATTTTCTCAGATTCGGTGGTGTGAATGCACCCCAATACTTACCTGTCTGGTGGGTGGTGAGGGAAAGCTTTGCCCTCTACAAGAGCTTGAGGTGCTGTTTCTTCTATCCAACACTTTCTAGTTGTGTCGCTCACTGACCCCTATATCACTACAGGCCACAAATAGTGGCATATGGGTCAGCAGGAAGAACCACAATGACTAGAGAAGGGCCAGACAATGAGTCACATCAAAAGTGTTAAGCAGATATGACTTAGCTCTTGAAGACCAGCAAAGGCTTAACACACTATGGGGTTTATTCACAAAAGGGTGAAGAGTTTGGAGAAGGCAGGAGAAGTGAACAATCTAGGCCAAAAAAGCTGATTTGGAGAAATTCTCCAATTCAGCTCACTTTCCAGTTCAGCTATTTTGTCTTAGATTGTTCACTTCTCCTGCCTCCAAACCCTTCACCCTTTTGTGAATAGACCCCTGAATCACAGGACAGGTATGTATTTAGCCTATTCCTTAGGAGGGCGGTACTCCCTAGGATCCATAAGGATAGGGAAAATGTTGCTTTAAGATGCTTCCCCCCAAAGTGAACTAGTAAGGTATCTTTAGGAACAGTTACCAATTCACTAAAGCATAGGATTCAATAACAAGAACTCTGATCACCTCCAGCTTGGTCTCATCGGAGATGAAATGGCAATTCTGTTTTACTGTTCTAGTTACTCTTGTGCAGGGTTGTGGTTGGATTATGAGACAGAACTCCCTGTCCCTTATTATATATACAAAGATGAAAGCTTAGATTTTACCATCAGCTTAGAAAGAGGTTCTATAATGCAAGAGCTGTTCTTTTTTTGGGCAATGGCCACATCGGGTGCTCTTTAGGACATGAACTGTGGAGGCTGTGCCCAAAAACCAGGGCACCTTGCACCTAATCCTTCTCCCATTACTGACTTACCATGCCTTAATCTGCTGTGCCCTGCCTGGACACGGCCATCTTGGTAGAGGCAAGGCTGTGCTTCCTCATGTAAGAGCTGCACTGTGATGATTTGTGATCTGGTGATTGGTGGTGGAGTATTGAAGAGGCAGGAGGTGTGGAGGATGCAAGGACATCTGAAAATGAGGGGATCTGGAAGGATGCGTTATGAATATTTTGCAAAATTGGTAGCAGTTGAGAAGGGGTTTTTTTTTTTGCCTTTCCTTTGAGTCAACCCAGTGAAATGTGAAGAAGGTTGAACTTGATGGATATCAGTCTTTTTCTTTCAAAACTCATTAACTACGAGAATATGGCTTCCTAATAGCACACCCAAGTTCTGCTGCCTCTAACAGCGTGATGGAAAATTCTATCACATGGTAGAGGGGATGTCTTAGAGCTTT